CAGAGCAGCGGACATCGAGGCAAGTAAAGAAAAAAAGTTCAGCAAGGCGGCAACAAAGTGTGCGCCTTGTGGTTGTTGCATGAATAATTCATAACAGCGGCACCAGTTAATAACTGAGCCGCAGTCGGCAGTCTGCAGCAGAAAAAGTGAAAGCTCATAAGGCAATCAGTCAAAACGTCATCAATAGAATTAAGTAATCAACTCGGGGACCCAAAACAGCAGCACCACCAGCAGCAGCAGTCAGCAGGCAGCAGGCCTCAAACCAAAAACTGACCACACACAACACAACGCGGCACCAGTAAAGGCAACAATGGGAAAAATAATAAAGAAAAAAAGAAAGGAAAAGAACAGAGCCAACTTCACATTGATTGCGGTCCAAAAAGGAGTCGAGAAGTCGAGAACAAAAAGAGGCGCGAGTGGCAGGACCACCGGCAAAAAAGAGCACCAAAAGAGTAGCCAGCAGCTACGGACACTCCACGGACGGACAAACGGACAAGCAGCGGACATACGGACAACTGGACAACTGGACAACTGGACAACCGGACCTACGGACAGCAGTTGGAACAGCAGTTTTTATGGCCTTTTTCCTTTATCTGCTGCCTGCCTTTTTTTCGTTCTTTTTTTTTGGGCAGGTCTTGGACCTGCAGTTATTGTGGTTTGACCAGTTGCAGGGCACCACCACCACTCAGTTGGCCACAACCACAAAAGGAGCTGAGAGTGGGGCACACAGCCAGAAGATATTGAACTTGGGCTGCCGAGGAGAATCTGTCGGGAAGCCAATGCAAAATTATCGGGTTTCGTATCAATGCTCAAATCCAGTTGGCATATTGGGGGAATGCTTTGATTAATGTGCAAAAATTGTATATGATATACGAGTATATGTATAGAACGCTGTGTGGGGAATCCCAAAATATTTTAGAGTTATATTAGGTTTGAATTTGAATATTTTATATATATGTATATATATATATTCATATAAATCGAGTAATCGAGCAATAAAACTTCCATTTCCACATTCCCTCAGAATTCTCAGAATATTCCTTCGTCCTTTCTTAAACGAACCCACTGACCCTTTGAATTATTTCAATTAAAATGCATTATGCATTATCTTCGTGTCTATTCCGTCGCTTTCGATCCTTGTTTACATATTTTATTTTTTCGCTTTGCCTTGCGTTTTAATATACGTTTTTGCTTTTTTTTTTTTTTGTATGCCGTCTTTGAGGTGCAATTAAAATAATTACGATAATTATATAGTTACAGTAGCGACAGTAGCAGTGCAGAAGGACACTCCCTCCTTTCCTTTTTGCCTTGGAGGGTGCGGACTTTATTTTATTATTTATTTTATAGATTCCGGCATTTGTCGCCAGACATGCGACGACGACGACAACGACTGGGCAAGCGAATTACGCAGAAATTGCCATGAAAATTACTCGATTTAACCCCGTTGGCCTTTTTCCGGCGGGTCCTTAACCCTCTAAAGAGGGTCCTCTGGTCACATAATTAGCCGTGGCAAATAATTAACATAAGTGAGGGGCTGGGCAAAACTAAGAGCTCAAGCCAGCTGGAACGTGCCCAAAAAGGAGCCAATTTTGCCGCTCTGAATTTGCAAGGCACGCGTCTCAAAAAAATGTGAATATATATATAAGAGTATATATTAATGGATATATATATCCGTATATATTCACATATTTGGAGATGAATAAATTACAATTTTGTTTTTGGCAACATTCTTGGTTTTTTCTTTGATCCTTTGATTCGTTTCGTGTTGATTGCTTGTTGCTTGTTTGTCTTCTATACTTATCGACATCTGCTGCCCGGGGTTATCCAGCACTTAAAATGCTAATTTTAATAATACCGCCGAGGAAAGGAGTGTGTGCTTAAGGGATAACCGATATGAAAGAACACATCATTCAAAAGGCTTTACAGATAAAAATCAATTTTATCGAATTTTAAATGACTTGTAGGACCAAATTTTCTTGAAGTTTTAATACAGTTTTACAGAATTAATTTAAAAGAATAGGAAACACTTTTTAGTTTCAAAAAGTTAAAGGTACAAATGTATACTTTATAGAAATGAAATATTAGAAATCACATAAAATCAAAGCATACTTTTATGGAAATAAACCAATAGTGAAGATGTATTAGAAATTGCATAATAAATATCATCAGAATATAAAAGCAAGTTGAGAAAATTTGAAAAGATTACTGATATTTCTAGAATCTATGATCTGCATAGCATGACACAAATATTTTGCGCCCTGCAATTCTCCACTAGCAATTCTTCTCATGCTCCACTTTGATTTGCTTATCAAGATCAAAGAGATCGGTGCTCTTCTGGTTTCCTTTCTTCCTTCTTCTTTTCTTTTTGCCGATTTGAAACAGCCAGAAGAACGGGAAAGAAGAGAAACACCCGCACAAATCCAAATCTCTACGAAAGCAAGAACAACAACACATTTTGACGTCTTCGGAAATTGTGTAGAAGAGCTGCAATTTGCTGTGGCCTCCAAGTTCAACTAACATTAAAAGAAGTGCACAGAAACAAGAAACGGGAGAAGAAAAGTGGAAGCTGTGGGGCTGTAGGAGAAATGCCGCTGTAGAGAAGTCAGGAGACAGGAGACTGCGAGGACTGCAAGAAGACGGGACAGAAGAATCAAGCGAAGACAATTCGAGTTGCGTGCTCTGCGTGAGCGTCGTGCGTTTGACTGACTGAATGACTGACAAACTGACGAACGCCAAAACTGAACCGGGTCTAAACCAAAGCAAACTGAAGACAGAAGACTACGGCCCGAAGACTGCAGACTGTAGACTGTAAACTGAAGACCAAGACTGACTTGGCCCATCATCCATCCATTTATTTCTGACTTTCTGAGCTGCAGTTGCGGGAGTTGCAACGGCAAAAGGAAAACCAAATTATACACATGCATGCACTGGGAGAAAATTTTGGGTCAAGAGAATATTTCGGAAATGTATTTAAGGGAAATACATAATTTTCTAGGTTAGGTTAGAGGTCATTTGGGTCTTTACCATAATTAGAAAATAAATTTCAAATTATATTAAAAATAATTTCAAATGAAAGTTAGCTTAAGACTTGATTCTCTTTAAATTTTAAGTTAAGTAACGTATTTTCCCCAGCGTAACCAAGTCCGAGTTGAAGACTGGGAAGAACGCCTCCCGCACTTATCCCCCCTTTGGGGCCGCACCAACACAATTGAAATTCCTCTAGCGCAGAAATTGCATTTCACGCTGGAAATGCGTGCTCTGCGTGCAGCAAAAAAATAAAACCAAAACCAAAGTGCAACAGCAACAAAAATTGCAACAACACCAACCACATCGGGAGCTGCATTTTCAGTCAGAGGAAAGACAAAACGACTTAGATTCTTTCAAAAAGACAAAGCTCTGGATGCACTAACAAAATTTTGCTAAATTATATCATTAAAAAATTCAAAGGAAATCATTAGAAAAATGTATTCCATCTTAGTAATATACATTTTTAACGGAAAATTATGTATTTTTAAGGTAGAAAAAGTTAGCAAAACTTCTATAGATACATCCTCCAAGTTCAAGAAATATTTATAATCATTTTTTGAACCACTTTTCTGGGTAGATGAAAACGTAATCTTTGAAACCTTATTAACATTCCCTATTGAATTTCTCTTTTTGGCTTCTTTCATCTACCGTTGCTGATCTTCTTTTTCGAATATTTAGATTAATTTCAAAGGAAAGAGTAACTCCAGATAAGAACGAGTTGGGAAGCAAAGATCAGTGGGAGGCTGCCAAGTAGCTTTCGTAGCCAAGATGTAGGTGCTTACAAAGGAATAGTGGGATGCAGCTGGGCTCAATCCGTCATGCCGGAAAATGCCACAAGGGCAACACTTGCAGCCCCCAAAAGAAGATCTGAGAAGAGAGGCATAGAAAATCATTTCCACACTGAAAAAATATTCTCTAATCATAATGATCTAACTATTAAAACAATTTAACATCTCTAGAAATTCGATTTTAGACTTTGTTAAATATATTGTTCTTATATTATTAATAAATATTTTAGGGACCTTAAAGTATCCCTCTTTATTTCCCGTGTAACCTCCCATCACGTTTCAAATTACGATCGCTGCAGAATCTACCTTTCTTGATATTATTAGTCTTCATTTTAGTTGGCATCGGATTGAAATCATCTCCGCTTTTCACATATCCCCACACAACATTGTCATATTCTATGGGTATTTTCTGTTGATTTTTCCCCAACTACTTTGCTACTTTGTTGTTGTTTACTTTTCAAGTCTTTCGATTGCAAGAAGACGACTAACAAAAAAAAGCTCCACACTTCTCTAGCTCTTTGTTGGATTTGTTTGTTGACACTCGCAACTTTTTTGCAGCCCACACAAAAAATGATGAGAGTCAGAATAAAAAAAAAAATGGGTGAAAATGTGGGGAAAGGAAGGGTTCCACAGATGAGGCAGCAAATTTTGACGGCTGATATAATTAGTAAACATTTGACAGTGAGTAAACACAGCAGGGGCTAAAATTAAATTGAGATTTGGGACCTTTCCAAGGTCTGAAAACTAGAAGATATTCTCCTTTCCCCTAACCACTTTTAATCAACCTAACAAACCATTACGTTAGTCATCTAGAAAGGAACAAAAAAATAAACACCATCGCCGCCTGAAACGTCAATTAACTGGAATCATTTGATCAATTCCATTTTCATAAAACATCAAATTATTTCCAATTGATTTACACATGGGTTAATACCTTACCTACTCCAATTAGTTGACTTTTTTCCCCAATATTTTTAACAGTTTTTTTTAAAGCAACTTCTGGCTTTTGTACCTCACTTTTTTTTGGGATGACGTCAAGCCTTTTCCCTTGGCCGCCAATCCTTGTGTCAAAACGTTCTTAAGGGTAAATGGAAAATCCATTAATAAATAAAAAAGCGCCACTCACCTGCAATGAGAGAAAGAGATGGCAGAGAAAATACGTTAAAAAAGAATTTCATTAAGTGCATTGAAAGGAGGAGGGGAGGGGAGGGAGTAGGTGGGCATCAGAGGGTCAAAGGAGAAATACAAATAAAATTATAAATGGGCAGTACACAAACACAAACAAAAAATGAGTAAACTGGCCAGCAAAATGGCGACGCATATATATATATTATATATATATATATACATATAGCGTATGTGCATCCCCACACAGACACACACACACACACAGTGACAAAAACACACATTGACACTAATAAGCTGCCGAGTTTTGCGTGTGTCAACTTTTGCACTTTTTGCGCAAATGCAAATTAAAAAAAAAAAAAAAAAGAGGAAAAAATGGGGGAAAAAAGATGAAAGAAAACATATTTTCACACGAGACATGACGACACCCTACCCACTGCCCCTACCCTACCATCAGCCCATCTCCCTCGCACACTGCACGCTCCAGCGATTCGTTGGGCCAAAAAGGGAGATACATATATACAGATATACAACTACATATATATATATACGGGCAAGTGCATTTATATATGCATATATGTTTACCTGTACTATAACTTCATTTCAATGGCCGCCCTGCACTTCCTCCGGCCTATAGCCCTCTCTTTCTGGCCTTCTTTTAGCACAAAAATATAAAAAAAAAAACGTAAAAACAAGAAAAGCCCATGCATATTGGATGTCTACGAATAGTCCAAATATTTGTTGGAAAATCGCTACAGAGAACCCCCAAAAACAGCAACAACAATAGTAACAACAATCGAAACACGCAAAGCCCGAAGACAAGGCTCTAAAATCTACACTGCACGGAAAATATATGTCAAAAGAAAACTGATTTGATTCATACTAAAAATACATTCAAGGTTAAATTGATATTTTAGTAAAAAGAATTGGTCTAAGTTTTGGTTAGATCCGATATTCTTTAGACTAGGTTTTCTTACAAGTAAGCTGTCTTTTTTTGGTATTTTTTTTACAGCAGTTTGGTATTCTTTTGTGAGCATGAATACTAGGCTTTTAAGATACCATTTGCCCCTCTTTTCAGTTTCCTTACAGTGTAGGTCAAAGAGGAGGCGTGGTGTGTGTGTCGGTTGCTCCTTCTCCTTCCCTTATGTTATATTTTTGATGGGGTAGGGGTAGCTCGATTTCAGCTAAGGACATCTACAAACACAAACACACACACACACTCATCCACACGCACACACACTAACAAAGCAAAACTAGAGAAATACACACTATTCTTCCTGTTCCTATTCCTTTAGCTATTCTTCCACCTTTTTTACCCCTCCGTTGTTGTAGTTCTTGGCTGAACGCATTTAATGGTCGAACAAATGCCTCGGTTTTTTTTTTTTTTTTTTTTTGAGGGTGAGAACTTCTACACACACACACACACACACACACACAAACCCATGCACATGTATATGTACAAGCGGTAAGGGTTGCTAACCCTCCCGTGCGTATATATGTATGTGTGTTGGTGTGTGCTTGTGCGGGATGGAAATAGTGCCCCTAGAGTGCGAAGAAAAGAGAGGGCGCGCTACTGGCACATTTAACCCATTGGCAGCCATTTTTAGTTTTAGCCACCACAAATCCAAACAACTTTTAAGGGGAGAAAGGGGTTAAAAGGGTCTCGTTTACTAATAAAACTTCCCTAAATAATATTTTATAATTTCAAATAATTTGATATTGGTTTTGATCTTGAAATTTTAGAAGTCCTACAAAGTATTTATTAAAAATTGGATATATTTATACATAGATCTATATTTAAAGTCCTAAAGATATACAACATTGTATTTATCTGAAAAGTGTTATGGAACTTTCTTATCAACAGGAAGTACAGGTTTAACAGTCCTTTCCTTAATTTTCTTTTGCAGTTTCGATGTTCAGATAGGTCAGTCGTTTCCGTTTCTACTTCAATCTTAAATCAATCGATCTTTTTGTCAGTTATACCTATTGATTTTTTTCTTCTTCAGTGTTGTTCATCGATGTATGCAGATCCATTGTGTCCAGCTGTTCACTTCACTTGGTTTTACTTTTTTTTTATATCTATTATTGCCCAACAATTATTTATTTGTTTTTTATGGTCAACTTCGATGGGAAAAGCGCCTAGGTAGCATTTCCTCAACTATTCAACAACTTCCTTCTTCTTTAATGTTTATTCACTTAAGATATAAAATTTAAAAAGGTAACTCTACCCAACTCGATTGATTAATTTGTATCACCAAGTAGTCGCTGCCTTTTAGTTCTCAATGTGTCAGCCCTCCTCACTTCATTTTATTCAGAGTGCTGGTCCGGATAAGACATAGACATCGAATTTATTTTTGATTTTTTTTTTTTTATATACGAGTTAAAATTTTCAATGTGTCATTAAAAAATCCGGTCAGTTTTTTGAGCCAAATCCAAAAACAGTTCTCGAATTCAAATTAAAAGTGCGCTTTATTAGACCCGTGAATCTTGATTTCGGACACAATCGCAATGGCCAAGGACCAAGAAGGACACACACCTCAACCATATGCCACAGAACCTACCGAAGACCAGAAACGAGAGCAACGGGCTAGATTGATCAAGGCTTTGAGCCGCTTCAAGCCTCGGGATGCCAATCCTTTACAGTTCTATAACTGCGTTCGTGAACTTTGCATAATGCACAATTGCAGCATCGATGAAGGTCTAGAGCGAGCCGCTATAACTTGGCCAGGACTTAGTATGAGACAAAGGGAGCTATACGATTCGGTGAGATTATCTTGGAAGTTTGGATAAAAAACTACCATATGCAGGGGAATAATCCTAAGACTAGGCATAGATATCGAATACTAAACCTATTTTATACGCAAATATCTTTGAATTGATGTGGACAACTAAGGGTTAAGGGTTAATATAAACTGATGATCCAAAATAGCTTAAGCAAACGTCAATAATTTCATAAATTTGTATTTCAATTTTTTAATATTTATCATTTAAATTTAATTACTTGATTAGTTTTTAAAATTTTGCAATACCCCAACAAAAGGTGACCCCAAACCAAGCCTTAAAAATCCATAACTTTATGGTTTTACCTTTCAACTTTTCATTTTATATAAGCCAATTTGGAATTTGAAATTGCCTGCAGATGTAAATTTTTACTGGTCATAACTCTTAAAGTTTGCAAGACTAAATTAAAAGGCTTTTCATTTTCAATTTTATTTATTTTAAACTATTAAAAATTCCTTAATTATATCCTATTAAGCAACGGCATGCCGAGCTGCCTATCCCAGTGCCACGTCACCTGATCTACCGTGCCTTCCAGAAGGAGAGCAAAGGTCTTTGGTCTCTAGGGCGCTCCACAGTGGGTGGCAAGCGGACGACGCGCTATACCCTGGAATCCTACAAGCCGCCACCGAAACCGTCTCGTCTAAAGACTCAACTCATCGAAAAGCGACCCAAATATGATAATCTTTTGGATCTGCCACCCAAAGTGGCAGCAATGCGAGTGCCGCCGGCACCGAATCGTAAATTTACAAGAGTGTCACCCTCGTCCGGTCGCCGAATCCGAAATCTTACACCTCAGGCCGTAAGGCGGGTCCAGTCTATACGCCAGATCCTCTCGATGGCCAGTGTAGAGATGAAAAAATCATTGCGTCGGCGACATGGAAAAAACCATCGAACAAAACCAACGAAAATTGTGAGTGTAGAGCCCATGAAAATGACAGCGGAAAAACTATCTTCCGGAGTCGTGAAGTCGCAGAGGAAGAAGGTTAACAAACGGAAGAGTTCCGCTTCTAAGGTCAAACGATTGGTCAAGGAGGAGAATCTGAAGGCATCACACAATTGGGATGTGGCCATCGGATCTGTCCGCCGACGTCTCATGATGCACCAGCCCTCAAAATCGAAATCATAAATCTATAACTCATACTTCATACCAAATACTACCATGTATATCTATATGTAATTACCGGAAGAATGTCAGTTAGTTCAATTTTTGTAATTGTTTAAACGAGCACTCAATGTACACCAAACACACAGAATACTGACACCTCTGTCTCTCTCATCCAAACTCTATGAACAATAGAAGATACACAGACGAATATACAAAGTGATTGCCAAAAACTTACAGTAACAAATTATTGTACTAAATTTATGTAAACAATGGAAGGTAAAATAAATAAGATTTGACAAAAGTTTTTGTGTTTTATCAAGGGAACTGATAAATAAGCTAATTAATAAGATAAAGAAATAGGACTTCGAATCACACACTAAAAACTACTCAACATTAATGGTAATGCATTCTTCAAGTTTTATTTTTAATTTATTTACCAAGCTTAAAAACATAAAAACTGATCAACCGACATCTAAAAGTCCCCTATAAATACTATAATTAAAACCATTGAGATCTTAACATTTCGCTAGAGACAACATGGAAGAAAAAAGAAACACTAACGATTTTCTAAGGCAATTTTATGGCATTTTATTTCGTAGATTGCCTGCCTCTTGCGTTCCTCGTATTTTCCCGACTATTTTATTATTTCTTCTTTTTTTTTGTTAGTTTCCAAGCGGGTGCAATCATTTTGATGAACCGTTAGTTAAGCACCAAAAACAACAACATCAACAATAGCTAATAAAACATTAACGCACACACACACAGGCATAAAAGCCCCCCAAAAAAAAAAAGATAAATAAAATCAGCAGAGGCAGAAATAAAAAAAATTCGCAAACTTTTTTTTTGCCAATCGGCAAGCAGAAACGACGTTGAGCATTTGACCTAAATTCGGGGACAGCTCTTCTACGTTTTTCTTTTTTTTTTATATATATATTTTTTTTGTGTTTTGCGTTCTCAACGCGCTTTTGTGCGTTACCCAAAAACACAAAATAAAGAAATACAATAAAAAACTAGAGAAACGCAAAAATTCGCAAACTTTTTTTGTGTGCGGCTGCTAATTTCGCAAAGGCAAACAAAAAACATTTCAATTCCGCATAGAAGAAAAAGAAGAGGGGCGAAGGAGAATTAGAAAAGAAACAAGCCAGAAACAACTGTACAAAAGTCAGTTTGTTTTATTATTTTTTGTAGTTTTTTTTCTTTTTATTTGATTGCCTATGTCACGAAACATATATTTTTTTTGGCGTTTTGCCTTTTGGCAATCTTTAGTTTTTTTACGGGATATTTTTTTCGGAGAATTTTTGCATTCTACCTGTTTGGCAGAAGATTTGCACAGAAGATATTATATACATATATATATTATAGGAATAGGGTTGGTTTTGAAGTATTTTTAAGGATCTCACAGAAAAGTAGATTAAAGTTTGGCTTAACGAATTTAAGAAGCTTGAAAAAGTCAACCCAAGTTACGGAAGTTAGAACAAAATCTTCTCTTCGGTGATAGAAATTATAAAGATCAAAGAATTTTGATCTATGATTTTTAAGTTGTTTAAAAAATACGTTTAATTTATTTAGTGGGATATTTCAGGAGTTTCTTTTGCTTTAACCAAAAAAAGATTAAAAGAAAACTCATCTATCATAATTACAAACTTCCAAGGAAAGAACTTTCTTTGATCTTTGGCAATCTGTTCTAATGTCTGTTGTTTCTCTAACCAAGGATGTCTTATCTATGCCTTTAATTTACTTTCGTCATTTAGTTAAAACTTTCTACAAATATTTCGTGTGGTAAAAACTTTTTTGGCCAGAACCATCTGACTTAACCACCTTAATCGCCATCATCTAAGTTTCATTTGAATCATCCAATTTCATTGCCATCATTTTTTTTTTTTGTCTTTCTTCTTTTCTTTTCTTTGCTGTGGCCCATAACAATTTATGAACGCTTTTGCGCTTGGCAAAAAAGTTTAGATGACGCTCCAAAAAGACACTGACAGAAGCCAGAAGCTATGAAACGCACTGACACATTTACTTTTTTGGGAAGTATTTTTGATTTTGGTTGAAATGTTTTGGATTGAAAGAAAGGCATTTTGTTGGTATTAAAAAAGCATGATTGAATTAAATTTTTCTTTTAAATATTTACTATCGCTCTTATATATATATTGGAAGGTTTTTAGTTGAAAACTTTACCTAAAATGTTGTATTAAAATGAATGAATGAATGAATTTGGGGTAAAATCAATCCTTTTAACCACATTTTTTATCGCAATCCCATAATCCCAATAAAACTTACTAAAGTAAAAACTTCTGAAACTGAATACAAATTTATATTTTTTATTAAAATTTATATGAATTAATTTTTTGTGTGGGAATCGCCAAGATCATTGGGCTATATCATATATCTGTCAAAACGTGGGTTTTCCAATTTCTCTGAATACTTTTTTCTGGTTTCCAACGTGCTTTTTTTTTAGCTTGTTGCTTAGCTCTTGCGCCATTTGACTTCTAACTGCTTTTTGTGGCTTCAAACATATCTACATACATCTACATATGAATGTGTGATTTTTTTTGCACTTTTTTTTGAAGGCGCTAACTAGGCAAAAGACACCAAGTTAACCCAACTAGGCGTCCCTCGCTCTTCTTTTTTTTTTAACTATTTTTTTATTGGGGTGCTGCTGTCTTTTTTGGCTTTGTTTAGTTGTCAAGCTGCTGTCCAAAAAAAAAAAAGAAGCAACAAAAAATAGCAGAAAATTCAGCAAGAGCTAGAGAGTACAACACACGCCGATTACGCAATGCGTTCGCATACATATGAAAACACACAAAAAATAGACACACACACACACACACACACACCTACAAACTCTGTGGGCAAGGTTTTTGTTTCGTTTCCGCGATCAACGCGCTCGCGAAAACTCACACACACAAACCTATACATAGACAACCAAAAACCAAAAAAAAAAACAAAATTCGCAAAATACTAACAACAAAGTAGCTTGTGCGTGCGACCCAATTGGAAATTTGACACACATTGACAGCAAAGATAGGCAACAGGGGAAATTTTTTGGGGAATTCGGGGTAACAGGGAGCGACGAAGCCCAGAAGCAGCTGCTCAGATACAAAGTTAGAAAGATACATTCATACAAGAAGCGCGGATACAAGTTCACATGTACATATAAACTCTAAGCAAAATGTGTGTGCAAAAATATACTCTCACTAAAAAGAAGGGTCAAGTACAGATTTCAAGGCATTATGTTAATGAAGCTTGTTTTAAATATTTATTTATTTTTAATGTATATTGCATATGTTTTAAATATTTAAGACTATCGATTAATGATTTATTACAAATAATCCATGTCTAAAACGTATTTTTAAATCTTTATTTCAATCTTATCAATATCATAATGCTTATCAAAAAGTAACTCCTACATTTTTCCTGTTCATAAATACCCTTTCCAGTTTTCTTTTAAGAATGTAGACCCCTTCGATTCCCTCATATTTAAAAAACTTCTTAAGCAAACTCATTTTCAATCCTCTTCCGAGGGCATACTACGAACAGTTTCTTGATGCAGCATTTTCCATGGCAAAATTATAAAAAAAAAAAAGAGAAAATTAAAAAAAATATATATATAGAAAAAAACTCATTGGGGAAACACACATCTGGGGATTTGAATGTATGTTTGCACTCATTGCTCATTTGTTTCGTGGGCTTAGAGTAACTGGCAACTGGCCTGACCTTTGGCTTGACCGTGGGCGTGAATTGCGAATAGTTGCGAAAAAATACAACAACAGAAAAATAAACTTTGCAAAAATAAAAAAAAAAGAAGCGAGAAATGGCAGACAAAAAATGTTTCTAGTGGGTCTGCTTGTCGCACAGCTGAAATTCAATGCTATCTACGCACACACAAATTAGTTCAGTAGGTGCTTTGATGTTTTTTTGTTCAGTTTTTTTTTTTTTTTTATTATTGTTCCTGACGTTTGGGTTTAATTTTAGACTTTGTGGAAAATTAAACATTTCTCAGCGCTAAAAGCCAACGCGAAAGAGAGAGAGGGATAGGTAGCAGACGAGCCAGCTAGCAGCAACGTTTGGGGCCCATAAAAAATTCGCACATTTCTGTCCTTGACACACATTGCGTATACGCAATCTACGCAGCCGGCTCCACAAACTGATTTCGTTTATGAGTGCGTGCGAATTTTTTTTCACCCATTTTTGCAATAGTATGTGACCCACATACGAAATCAAACAGAAACAGATAACAACATATGTTTTCCTATAAATATATATATAACTTGGAATTTTTGCACACATTTTTTTTTTTTTTTTTTATTTGCGGAAGACAAATTTGCATAGTTGGAAAATGATGTTTGGCAAGCGAGAAAATGTGGTGTGTGTTGGTGTGTTTTTTTCTTTTCTTGTCATTGATTAATGAATTTATCGTTTGTCTATTTATTTTATCCAACTGAGAGAGGTCAGAAGGTCGCAAAAACGCATCGAAAAAATTGCAGTCATTGCCATGACAGCTGGCAGTGTGTAGAGGAGGAAAAGCAATTCATACATTTTTAATACTCGGAAAATGCCAAAAGTGAGATGCCAAAAATGCTGTTATATGAACTTTAGATTCTTGAAAGATGCAAATTAAGAAAAACTTCAAGATCTTTAACCTTTTTTGCTTTATAAACTACATAAATTAATAACATAAATATGTTAATTTAAAATGGCATTTCATTTAAACACATTTTTACGTAACTTCCGTTTTATCTCAGTATTACTGCAAGGCTTAAAAGATCATAAAAAGTCAAAAGTATGATTTAGATGTAAATTCTTTCGAAAGAATTCCCAAAAAAAAAACTATTTTATAGGGAAATAAAGTTGCAAATATTTAGCAATTTCTGTGAATTCTTTCTATACAAATTTGTCATAATTGGTTTAAGCTTACAAAACATTTTGAGTTATAAATTTGTTTCTGAATTTCCGCCAAATGTCATGCGTTGAGGTGCTGAAAACGTGCCTTCTACATTTTTCCAGTATTTCTTTTTCAGCGATAACAAAATATTAGTAATGTTATATTGAAATTCCTATATACTATATAGGTTGTAGTTAGTTATAGAACCATCATATGGTTTATTCAAAAAATTCTTGTCACCGAATATAATATAAAATATGACAAGTGTGTGACTGATAAACGAAACAAGCAGAAAAAAAAAAAGTCTGCCTCTATCTTGCTGATATTTTCTGCCCATTTTTTTTTTACTGATTTTTTTTTTGTGTTTGGCAAACATGCGAAATTGCGTAAGCAGCGAACACAGAGAGAGAGAGTGA